GGTCATCAGTGTGAAGTAAGACTTTACCTCTTGCCTCTTAGAGTTTCTACATGAAAGAAAACTAATGGTTAATGACTGTGAAGCATAGCTAGTAAATTCTTTCTCTTCCCCACCTACACATAATGAAACACTGACATTTGATTTCTTGAAAGTATATCCTTTTGCTAACCCTGTTCCTGTCTGGTTTTCTGTGTATCTCCGAGACTGCAGCCTTGTGAGCTGCTGTAATGTCTATCAGCATAAGTCACACCGAAAGACCAAGGCTTTGATAGCTAATGTTAATAACATAAATTGAAGAGAAACATGAGATACACAGAAAAATTTTATAGATCCCATTGCCTGAGTGGAGGGGAGCCACTAATCTCAAGGCTGCCATCTCCAAATTAATTTCTCAGATTAGCTGCTTAGCTCTTTTTTTTCGTAGTTTCAACAAAGATGCTAGCTGTATTTTTTTAATGAAAATGAGCTGTGTGGCGAAATATTGCATACTGACAAAGTAAAATGCACTTGCTGAGGTGGGAGGGTGTAGGAGAAGTATAGCATATTAATACCGTGATCATCTGTCTTTCCTCTTCCCATTCAAATAGCCCAAGTTAAGTGCAGCCTCAATTTGACTTGTACAAGCCAGAGTCCTGACATTCCTGTTTTCCACCTATTATTTGTAATTACCTCTGTCTCAGGCTAGATTTATGTGAGGATTTGTGGATGACCAATAAATTCTTATTATTGCTTATGGTAGAAAATATTGTGAGACCAGTTATATGCCAAAATTATAAAGGCAAGTGTAAACCTGTTTTAAGCTAGGAGGAATGATTTACAGAACTTAGGCAGGGAATGATAGCTGAGCATTGACAACAGTAGGGTGATCCTAATATGTTGATGCTTCATTAAACCCTTCAAGGTGAGGAACATGTATTTCTTTGCTTGTCTATAAAATCAAGGTATGCTTTCTACTTAAAAAGGCAGTTGGGATTAAATGGTCATTTCAATTGTAGGACTACACTGCACTTCGTGTTCCCATCTTGACATCTGCAGAGCTTCAAGTACAACTGGCACAGACACTCATAAGATCAAGGTCAGACTGTCTGCATAATAAATGCTGGAAGGTATTAATTCACCCACAGATGTGGCAGCAGAGACAAATAAGCTTTGTGCAGTTCACCTATACATCTGGGTATTTGAAAGAATTAATTAATTGCAACACAATGAATCCTGCATTGTTTCCCTCTCAAAGGTGTTTAAGGGATAGTTCAACGCTGTGTGTTGCCTCTATGATGTGTGCCTTCACCAGTGGGTTATAAATTATAGTTTTCCAGGTTTCCTGCTTTCAGGGTGATACATGAAAAGAGATAATTTTATTTAACTGGGTGTAAATAAATAGATAATTCAGTCCATTTTAGTTTTTAGTACCTCTAAAATTAGTTTTTGTAGGCTGCTGGCGAAAGTCTAACATATTGTAAGGTCTTTTTGCAGAGCCTGCCTTTAAAAATACAATTAATACCCAGTTTTTGAAAAGTTCACTGTTGGCATAATAGTTCTATTGAAGTGGAAAAGCATTTTACCTATTGATTTCAATGGAAAGGGTTAGGCCTGTGCTAGGATTTTTTGAAAATCTACATCTGACTCTATTAGGAATGTTTCTAAAAGGTTACCCACCAATTTAGTATTCAGACTAGTGTGTCATACTGAGACTCTCACCTTTTGACAAAGTTGCCATTTGTTCATCACGCCAGAGCTAGGCAAAGAGCATACAAATAATTTCTTAAATATTTTTCTTAAATAATAATTTAAAGCAGATTTGGACCTCGAACTGCCCTAATATTCATGGCTTACATGTACCGTCACTAAAATTTTGAAAAGACATTGATATAAATGTAAGTTTAATGAAATTATTATTGGGCATTGAATGGAAAGCGAACTTTGAGAAGATAAAGTCAAAGTCTATCTTACAAACTGTCAAAGGCAGTCCAGGATATCTTCAAGGCAGGCCAACCTTCTGTAAGAATTTCTGTCAATGAAACTACTGACAGTGAAATATTTGCTATCAGTCTGTAAAACAACAAGTGATTGTTGACATGATTTGGAATGGATTTTACTTCCGAGTAGCATACCAATGCTAGTTTCATATAAATGGAGGTATGCGTTCAAAGCTCACTGATGTTAACATCAAGACTTCATGTGGGACTTAAACATTTCCTGAGCTTTTGTGTGATCACTTATGGTTAGAAAAAGAAGATAAATTCAGTAATTTATTTGTTTGTTGTTCCCTATTGGTCTTTGAAAAGACAGAAAGATTTGGTGCATGATATACCCATTTTTCAAAAAGCCAGCTTTATGGAAGAGATGTGGGTAAAACTCATATCTAGGTACTGGACAGGGGTTGAGAAAGTGTTTGAAAGAGATATTCCCAAAGGCTGTAGTTTGCTTGGCAGGGATTAGTGCTTATATGGAGGGCACCTTTTTCTTTGCAACTTTGAGTCTCAAGGATTTTGTATTTACCTCTACCTCTGCATTGGTACCTATGATGTGCGAGAGATACAAAGTGAGAGAGTCTGAAAGTGTGCAGTGATGCATGATTAGGATTTTTTTGCTAGCATTCTCATATTAAGCTTAATACTCTTTTGACTGCATTAGTTACAGTTTTAGTTCCAAGGTTCTGAATAGATTCGTTTGCAAAATGAAAATGAGCAGTTGCATTTGATGGATGAAATGAAAGCTGTATGATTTTTTTTTTCCACATGCAAGATAATTTGTGACAGAGATGTGGACACAGGTCTGGAAAGGTTCTAATCCCTATAGTTTAAATAGAAGATTAGTGATAATCTTTAGTCTCATCCACATTTCTGTTGTGTTACAACTGTGTAATATTTCATCATTACATTACCGGATCATGCTAAAATATACCGATCTTTTATTTGATGTACTTTGGCCATGTAATGCAAATATGGCTCACTTAATAGTGAAAAAAATTATGAGGGGTGAAGAAAATGTGTCATTTAAAGCATAGTAAAGTGAGCAGGTGGACTCTTCATTTTTTTTAATTGGCTTATTAATACACACATAACAGAAGTGAAACAAAATTATTTTTATTATTCCAAAATGCACAACAGACAATACAGGTGTTTACAGATCTATTTTGAAAACGTTTCTTTTTCCATACTTTTTTACTACAAGCTACTCTGTTTTGCAATTTTAATTCAATATTCTCTCATCCAACATGGAATAATTCCTGATATGAATAATATGCTTAGTTTCAACTGAAGTCAACTCACTTTTAACACTGAAATGAGTGAGAGACAATTTGATTTACCTTTTATTTTAACACTTTTAAAACTTCACTAGACCAAAGGAAATGTCCATGCAGATAAATCTTATAAATAAAATTAAAAGAACTAATATATTTCAGTAAAAAAGCTAAAAATGAAATAAGTTAAAATATCTGTTATAAGAGAGATCCAGAGTAACAGACAAATTCCCTGTAAATAAACATGTCTGTAAGGGTCTCAAAAGCAGATATTCCAGGATGACCTCAAGAGGTCATCTACTTCATTCCCTTGCCTCATGGCAAATTAACTTTGTCTCTGTCATTCCCAAATGGTTCAATGTGCTCTTAAAGACCTGTAGTGGTAACTACTCCATGGACCCCACTCTTTTCCTTCATTCGCCCCCCCCCCCCTGACAATTTATATCTGTGTCCGGCTGTCTGTACCTTTCGGAAGATTTGCTAGTGACTACTCTGAATCTTGCATTAGTTGTTCTGTTCACTACGAACACAGAGAACTGACTGTTCCTTTTCTCTTTGTAACAGTCTTCAAGCATGTAAAAGGTTCCACTATCTTTACCCCCTAAGCATGACCTCCCATAAGCAAAACAACCTCATTTATTTAAATTTTTTTCTCCTAAGATCTGTTTTAGGACTCTCTCCATTCTTGTTACTCTTCTGTAGATGTTCTCCAGTTTTTCAATGCCTTGAAATTGTGTCCAAAGTTGGAACTAACAACTCAGCTGAGGCTCTTGTCATGTTGAGCAGAGTGGTGGAAGTAGGTTGTGTTTTGTGGGCTCTGCTTCTTACATTCCCATTTTTCCTCAGCGGTGTGGGTGTTTGTTTCTGATGAAGAGCAGTATCTGTTTGTTTTCCTGACAGGATTTCATTCTGTAGGTTTCAGATAATTTTCCCAATAATGTGATGTAATTGTCCCTTCTGATTCAGTCAGTCCTTCAACTTGCTTCCAGACTTCATACTGGCCATTGCAGAATTAGGTTGCTGCAGAACTCTGTGGGCTTCTGTTCTCACAAGGGACTGTTGTGAACTGCTTTCAAGGCACATTATCACATGTTTGCACTGCTGGGATCAGGCGCCTCTAGATTCATCCCTAAATAATTTGTGAGACTCCTATGTTAAACAGTGTTAAAAAAAAATCTAGTTCTTATGTTCAGTTGCATAATGAGAGGAAATCCAGTCTTTCTGATATGTGGCAAAATTTTCAGAATTGTTTAACTGACTTAGGATATGTTTACGCTGGTGAAGGTAGACAGCTGATGATTTTTTTTTCAAGTTAGCCAGGTATGAACTAGAGTTCATGTTATTTGTGTTATTGTGGTACAGAGCCTGAGCTAACAAGCCTTACTGAGACATTCAACATTTGAACATAGATTTTAGCTCTTAGATAAACATGCTGTTATTATTTACAGACCATAATGACTATATGAAATATTTTACCCCCAAAAAAGTCAGGATCTCAGCTGGGAGGTGTTTACAGTCCAGCTAATAGAAAGTGAGGGCACAGATGTTCATTGTAAGAAAACCAGCACTGCAAGGCTTTTTAAAGTAAGTGCATTCTGAGGAGAGATGGAAAGCAGGGGGTAATAAAGACTTGGGAGTTGGGAACTTCTTGAAAGCATAGGATAGCATAGAATAAGCTAAGTGATCTAGGCAGTGAAAATAAGGGAATATAAAGAAATAGAGAAGAAAAGGAGGCAAAGGTAGAAGGAATCGGAAACAGAGTTCTATAGACATATGAAAATGATTGTAAGGAAACTGATGGGATAAGTAGAGAAGGCCTGAAGAGAAGTTTAGTCAGTAGGTCTCCATTTTGGCCTTCAAAATCTTTGTTTCAATCTTGGCAGTTTCTAAATAACCTTGCCTATGATCTTCCACTTAAGCCCAATCAGTACCTTTATTTAGAAGTGAACATTTGAAGCCAAACTGCCACCTCAGGTGCCCTTCATTGGTTACTTCCATTCTGACTGAAGGAACAGTAGGATGGCCCCAGCCCCCTCACAGTGCAGTCAGTGCTGTCAGTGTCGCAGGTCTCACAGTGGCACTCTGTAGCTACCGGGTATGAATAAAAAGATTCAGGATGGTCACCACAGCCAGGGATCTTCACTGTTTCATACACAACCTCCTTGAAGGTACATGTTTGCTGAACGGATGATACTGGCGGATATTTATATACTGGATCCTGAAAATTACAAGAAGGAAATACCTACTTTGAAATTTGTTATGGGGTAGAATTCCAAATTTTTTATAAAAAATAAAGGACCCGATGTGAAAACTAATTAAACCTGTAGGAAAATCCCACTGAGATCAAAAGGATTTGGATCAGACTCTTCTAATTTCACCTAGATCCTTAGATTTCTCCTTTCAGGAGGACCTATATGGTAAATTTGTGTCACACAATCACCAGACAATCTTGCTTGATTCTTCAAATTATTTGGAAAAGTAGAGGAGTCTACATAGTAATGGTTGCTTTATTGTATCCTTTTGCAACCACAGATTTAACACAAGGCAGAGATCCAGACTGTAATACTTTCAACTCTAGTTATACAATATAAACATAATGTGTGCAGCCAGTCAAAGACCTGAATTTTACCAGCATCTTTTCACCCTTCCCTTAGTGGTTCAGATCAGCTGTGTATCTGCTTTCCAGTCAAATAGCACAGCAGTTGCTCAACCTGTTCTTTCACAAGGTTTGTCCTGCCTATGTGTTCATTATGGACTGGGGAAATGGGTTATTCATACATCATTTGGAATGTTTAATTCTGGTCCCTGAAATTAAATTTAAGATTCTCACCCTTGTGAAGCAGTATCCTGAGCACCACGTGGCATTTACTGTAATACAGAATTCACATTCTTCTCTTTCCACTGCTATGGTAATATTGGTGAGCTGACAGCAATTGCAACAAATTGCTTCCCAGCAAAATAACAGCACGTAACAATTAACTGTCTTCATCCTGTGTATAAAGCAAAAAATATATCTGTACTGGAGAAGTTATAACTGTATAGTTATTTTCAACAAGAAATATTTGTAGAAACAAGGAAAAATTGAGTCTTTGTGTTATCCTCAAGTAGTTCTATAATAGCAAGCTTTCGGAAACATCAGTGGTAACATGGGATAAAGCTGTTAAATAGATCTGTCTGTATGTTTAGTGTTACAGGAGTTTGATTTTCCTAAGCAACTGAAATAGTATGTCAGCAGTCTTTGCAGAATAGTAATAGCAGAGTGCCATACTACTTTCAATGGAATGTTTTTATCTAAGTTTCTGTACAGAGAATGTGTCCTGTCTTTAAGGAGAAAGAAGAGGCAGCAAGGGAGAGAAAGAGGAAAGTATAATATATTTTTCATAAGCAATTAATTACATACAGTGTTTGAAATTTGAAAAAATATTTCTAGATCAGGATCTGATGAAAACTTACCTGTATTCTACTTGCTTTCCTGGTAATAGCTGTAGTGAAAGGAAAGCCCTATGCTTACCTTTTATACTAAATCGTGTGTAACTTATACCTTGAGGATTTGCAGTGTATTAATGCAGCAAGCATTAGTTTGGTACTTGGTGAAAGAGGATTAATGTTCAGCCAGACAGTGAGATCAAGCCTTGTTAAGAGGAAAAAAGAAAAGCAAAACACACTCAGGAAGTGATGGTGAAGGTTACTGTCATAACGTCTTTTTAGAAGTTTCACTGGACTTGATTCAATGGCATTTAGAAACAGCTCAGCCATTCCACAATTTGAAAGAAGGTTGAGAAAACACATAACTGTGTTTTCTGTCAGCCCTCAAACTGGTAGGCTTCGGGTGCAAACTAGTCCTCTGGTAATTCATAGTGGAGACATTGCTAGAGTGTTTCTTGGCTAATGAATATGTTCCTGAGTTTTTCAGGGTATCAGTCTTAATTACTTTTCTCTGAATGAGGTCTTACCCAGTGAGCTGTATAGGTACTTGTTTATTGATCTGTGGTCCAAGAAAGCTAGTAGTCCGAGTTTTGTTAAACCATGAGTAACTCAACTTCACTTTACCATTTAAAATACCACTATGGTTTTTCAAAATTCAGATTTCTATCCCAGTATATGCAATCCTGTTTCCTGTCTGTTGCACAGTCACCTTTTTTTAACTTATGTAAGGGACGTCTGTATTGTGGAAAGGGACTATAAAGATGTCATAATGAGCCTCCAGATCTGTGTTTTCTGTCAGTGATCTCAGATCAAGTATTGGCGTGTTACAGGGAAAATGTTAGTATTTTTAACAGGCGACCATGCAAACTCAACTTGAATGCACTCTCTAGTTTGTCCTGATAATAAAAGATTCTATGAATAGTGTTCCCCCACTCACTGCCCTATTCCTGTGTTCGCAAGTTAGTGATGTGTGCCTCTTCACCAGAATAATGACAGAGAAATAACTTTATTGAGCTTCACATATCACTTCTGGGGAAAATGACTCACAGTAGCACTGTATTTACTATCATCTGCCCAGAACAGCCAGTCTTGCTTTGTTATGACTGTTCTATTATGGTCAGTCTGACTTTACAGAAATCCATCCACAAAAGAAAACTAGGCAAGGACATACAGTTAAAAGCATTTTATCATGAAACGAAATTCTCACTGGCGTATTAGTTGTCCTGCAGACAGCAGACTTTTCAAAATGGCTTTTACAAATGAGCCCTTTAAGTGTCTCATACCTTCCTGTGGTCCTGCAGACTGGCCATCTGTTTAAGTTTCCATGCAGTCTGCACTACTGTAATTTGTTAATGAATTTCCTCTACCACTAAATTTAAAGTGTCATCTGCAAATTTCCCTGTACGTCTCCTACAATAATAATTTTGTTTGAATGAGAACACAGCTCAAATGAATAAAGAAGTCAAGAAAGCAGAGATCTTCCTCTTTACTAATATAGACTCTGTGGTGGTTTGATAATGGTCTTGTGTGTCATGTAGTGTCAACACAGTCGGTCTTCTCCGAGAAGATTCCCACTTGCTGTAAATCACTAATTCCAGAGATGCCAGACAAAGGGTGATTACAATTAGTTACATCCCTACTGAGAATCTGGCCTTTTCTAAGTACTAATTTGTGCAAAGTAATAAAACCAAGTAAACTTCATTTGCAAAGGGCAATACAGAAAAGATCTAATCTCTCAGTTACAACGATCAGGTTTGAGGAAGTCATACACATTCACTCAAACCATAGTTTCACAAGCAGAGAGTGCAAGTGTAGCCCCTGCTATGCTGTTTCTTCCTTCCCTTAGTTCCTTGTTCTGGCCCAGTCAGCCTCCTCACTTGTGGCAACGCAAATTAGGGAAATCATTCTGATTTAGAGGAAAAAACCCAACCCAGCCATTTTTTACAGCCTTGTTGTTAATCCATATCAATTTGTTCCACAATGAAATCAACAGCTGTAGCAGTGTAATTGATGGGATTGATTAGAAAGTGGGAATGAGAGGGGAGGTTAAGAAGAAATGCTTTACCTGGTGTTCTCTCTGAAGAGTTCATGAAGCCACACTGTAAACACCATACAAACTTTTAACAGCAAGATTTCATTCTACACTGACTTCAAGGGCATTTATTTCTGTAATCATCAGTTCTAGATTGGTTCTCCAGCTATTAGCGCTGCTAAATTCATTGTGTAAATATGCAAATATGCATTTTTAAGCTAATAGTAAATTACAAATTGAAATCAACTAGCCACCAGACTATCATATGAGGAGTGGTAATTTGGTGAGGTGTTACTTGGTTGACTTTGATTTTTGCTTCCACGCTTTTTGTTAGAAAGATACACTAGAGGAATTCTGGTGAATGTTTATATGCTAACTATATCATACTCCTTCAAATTTATATTCTCATGAGATTAAAAAAAAAGGTTATGGTAATTGTGAAGGGACTAACAAATATTATTTATCCATAAAGCTATCATTTTTGCATATATGTGAACATTATATGTCAGTTCGGTGTTACTGAATTTTGTATCTATTTGAGAAATAGAAATGCTTTTAATTTTAAATGGTTTATATTTCAATTTAGGGAATAATACCAGCAGGAAGAACACTTCCTCTTCGTGTCTGCAGCAGCTCTTAAGTGTTAAGTAGTGGTTTTATCTATCTAGTTCTTAAGAAATATTTCCCATTCTACATTTAGCAGTTGTCATTATGCTTCTACGCTGAATGCTAGGCTCCTGGAATTCCATGGTGGTTAATGTACAGAGCCTTGGAAATTAAAAGATACTGTGGCATGTCTATACAGAAAGGTTGAAACAGACATGCATATGCTCTGCTCACATTTGGAGCTAGCTAAGCAATTTACAGATCTGGAATGTCTTTGCAAATAGCCTGTTTGTACTGGGGCAAAGCGATCTCATGCTCTTTTCCACCTTTTTAGGGTTAGCTTACTAGTGGGTCTATTGTGCAGAACCCAAGCTCTAGCAAGCCCCATGAGAGGGCTCAAGTTGCTACAGAATCCTCTGCATTGCTATTTTGTTGTATTCTATGGCTTTTTCCCTTGGACTGTTTACGGTGGTAACATAGCAAGCCATTGTAACCACTGCTGCCACAAGAAAGCACTTGGCTTCGCTATTTCTAATCACTTCAACTGGAAGTGCTGTGACACATTCTGCTGTTGTTTCCCTTCTAGCAGTAAATGCTCTTTTTCTTCTGTTTGTGGTTTTCATGGTTTTCTTCCTTCCCAAAAGCATCTAATACACAACTTGAAAGCTTTGTGTTTCTCGTATGTTCTAAACTAATTATATTTCTTTCTTCTAGAGGGGTGCTGGTAAGACTAGCAATTCTGTTACTTCAGGTTATAAATCTGCCTTGCTTAAAAGAAGGTTGTATCTTTCAGAGACCTTCAGCATCTATCAAAGTGCTGTTGGAAAACTTGGTTATATGTCTACATTTCATCCACCATGAGTAGTAAGTCTGACTCTGTCCTGATAGAAGATGTATTGAGCCTTCTAGTGGAAAAAACACAATGTCTAATATAAAAGGCAGGTCTTATCTGTGAATTATTCCAGCTGTAGACTAGCTTTAGCTTCTAATAGTTTCTTTTAAAAGTGTTAAGGGATGTGGTTTTAGGTTTGTTAGATTCATGGTTGTGGTTACATGGTTAGGTCTTGTTAAATAGTTGTGTTACTGGGGATAATAGTTTCTGTATCTAAAAGCTGTTTCTCATTGAAAGTATGTCTCAAGTCATGTTTAAAGTGCTTAAATCTATGGCTTAATTAAATTTCTGTGGGTTAGAACAGAATGAAGAGTTGGTTCTCTTAAGTTTGGAGTTGTGTGCTTCAGTGCCATCAAACTGAGCATAGTATGTGCTTGTGTCAAGTTTTTACTGCACATAACCTGTCTTGACAGAGTACCCTTCCTCTCCCCTTTTTTGTGCTTGTCCAAATGTTTTTCTGCACAGGTCCAAAATTAACTGAGGTATTTAAAGCAAAAGATCTTATTGCTGCCATAGTGATTGATTAAATTGATACCTTGAAGTACACAGATTGCAAATTGCTTCTGAATCTGTGCTTCAGGACTCCCTCCCTGTGTGAGGTGGTATTTCATGGCACAGCAGCACAGGCCTGTGTTAATGCTGGAGCATTGTCTTTCCCTTTGGCTGGTGTTGGTTTTGTTGCTTACTGCTGGTGGGAGATTACTTTTGTCATTGCATTACCCTTCTATATGCCTTTGGAGTTTCTGGGTATGACTAGTGTTTTTCAAGAAGAAAAAAACCACCACCTTAACAGACTTAACAAAATGGATTAGGCATATTAAAAAAGAGTTGACAAAACAAGAGAGAGACCTGATGGACAATATATTCAAAGTCATATATTCCACTAATACATAACCAGCTAGGGTTTCTGGTTTTTTTTTATGTGAGCAGTTCCTGGGTCTGAATGGGATTGCTGTTATGCTGTTGATAGCGAAAGTGCAGAAATATTGCTATGAGGATACAAGTTGAAGAAACTAGAAAAAGGAGCATGAGG